GCAGGAACCCCACAAGTGTCTTATTTTTTGCAAGACTGAGCCTTGTTGTCCTATTTCCTTTCAAGAGAGGTGACTTGGTGTTGCCTAAGGAATGACAGGTCCATGAGAAAACCTAGCACATGTTTGCCTCCAAATATTCAGAAACAACCTAGACATTTTTAGCACATTTCCTCATAAATTGACCTTTGCTGGTTCTTCAAGGAGTACGAATTTCTCCTGTTATGAGATGCACTAGAGGCAAATGTATTATAAGTTAGTCCCACATCAATAGGGCCAGACTACAAAATGGGCCAGAATATACAGAATTATCACAGCTTCTCTGTGATATCAAGAAGACCCCAAAACACAGCCCCCATTCCCATCACTGCCTAAATGCCAAGCCATTTACCGCTTTAGCGGGGAAATTATTCCCCCCACCGCTCTCTTCAGAGCACTCTTCACCTCCTGGTTCCTCAGGCTGTAGATGAAGGGGTTCAGCATGGGGGTCACCACCGTGTAAAAGACAGAAACGATTTTGTCCCTGCCCAGGGAGTAGCTGGAGCTGGGCCTCAGGTACATGAAGACAAGGGTCCCGTAGAAAATAGTGACAACAACTAGGTGGGACACACATGTGCCAAAAGCTTTATGCTTGCCCTGCACAGAGCCCATCCTCAGGATGATCAATAGGATGCGGCCATAGGAGATGAGGACAACTGATACAGTGGTGACCTCATTGAAGCCCCCAAAAGCAAGTACCAACACCTGGTTGAGGCGAGTATCAGAGCAGGCCAGTTTTGACAGCGGTGGCCCATCACAGAAGAAGTGGTCAATGACATTGGGGCCACAGAAGGACACTCTCAACGCAAACCCTGTGAACATGATCAGACTAAAAGACCCAACTGTGTAGGACCCAGCCAAGAGGGAAATGCAGACCTTCTGGGACATGACTATGGGGTAGCGCAGAGGATTGTAGATGGCAACGTAGCGATCGTATGCCATCACAGCCAGGAGGTAGCACTCCGCTATTACAAAAACAAGATAGAAATAGAGCTGTACAAA